GACAGGGTCGTCCCAATATGCGTTTTTGCAATTTGCATATAGGCAAAAACGCATAAAAACGATAGGTTTTATGCGAAAAACTGACAACCACTTACCTGGAGGTTCACTCGGCTCTACAGTGCAACACCTTCATTCCGACCAACGCTTTTTCTCCTGCACGCCGGAAGAGCGCAAAGTACGGCCAATTTGAGCCTAAGTGTTAGGTTGTTGCGCATTAGGCTTGTCATCGATCCAACTTGGGTTTTTTTATGTGTTTTTGCAAACATGCAAATGCCAAAATGCATACTGTGACGACCCTGATGAGCGCTTTTCTGTGTGGGTTTTCACTCGGCATCCAAGCAAGCTCCGACTTCAAAACTTTTGCCAGCGGGTTCCCTGGCTAAGTGCCACCCCAGGATTGCGTTACTAACCCTCACATACGTTTGGGACCAGCAAGCAACCACGCAAAAGTTTTGGTAAGGAAACTGCTAACTCGGGAACTAGAAAAGCTGAAATTTGCAAGGAATGTTCTCAACACATGTTCAACTTAAAGATTTCAAATTCAGCCCCCGGTAACGCGTGGTACTGATGTACTGTCCCTTGAAAATATTTTGGGAGAAAATCGCTACATCGGGAGCTAGAAAAGCTGGAAGGCTGAAATTTTGAGAGGATGTTCCCTGCCCAAGTAGAGCACAAAAGTTTCAGATTCAGCGCCCATGTGTACGTGGTTCTCACGCACAGCCCCGTGAATATTTTTGTCAGGAAGAAATGCTAACTTGGGAGTCAGAAAAGCTAGAGCACTGAATATTCAAGAGATGTCCCCTGTCCAAGCACCGCGTAACTGCACAATTAATTTCCCGTCGAGGACGAGTATGTCACAATTTCTAACTGCTGGGGTTCCGAGTAGTCTTACTACACCACGATATACTGCAAAAACGTACGGACTTGCCTAATGCGCGCCGCTAATGATTTGTTGTCGATTTGTGCAGCACGGTCAGCTGTCGTCCAGCATTCTTTGCTTTTGGACGATTTAAAGTTTTGTTTTACTTTTAACGTTACGCAAATTGTTCGTGTTGTATGTGTTGAATAATGGTCTAATAACCCAAATTTGAGGCTTGGTTATTGGAATTGGCGGCACCGATTGGAGAACGATCAGAATCGATTTGATATTTGGCGGACCTATTGTGACCTGTAATCACTGTACTGGTCAATTTTTTGATGCTGCGAACAAATCCGGAATTGCACTTCTACTGCGAAAAGGAAGGGATAGAAGAGCATTGAAGATGATATTCTAAGCTCCAGGAATCCAAACGCAGATTTGGATTTCTATTCGTTTATTTCGTTCGATGACTAGAAATTCGAAGTCCCGACTGAACATTAATTGCTGTAATCACTTGGAATCGTTTCGTAACTATTTTAACTCCCTTCACCCTGCACTCGACCCTGATCTGCTTTTTCCATAGTTCTGATGCTTGTTGAGTGAAATAATGACCTGTTAATTATTGTATTTAAACAAAAAATAAAACGGCATTGCGGTAATTGAAAACAGTGGGCGCACTTTGGGATGTTTGATCGGCTGGGTGCTACTTCCATGTTTACGCGGCCCGCGCAAGCGTCGCCCTGTCATTATTCGGCCATTTTAGGTCGGCTACCTCTTTCATCCATTATTTAACCCATTTCAGAGATAATTGTGCATCGGTGAGGCAGGATGAGAGTTGTTAGCCAGTGGAAGTGTATTCTCAAGAAAAAATCTGCTGCAGAGTGCAACATGAGGTTATTTTTACGTAAAAACCGCGTACAAATATAATTTGGCGATTTTCACTGCGACTTTAGACACAGCAGCCAAGTATTGATGGCGTAAAAATCAGTTGTCGAAGTACCACAACGCTGAGCAATGGCACACAGCAGAAACGATAAGCAAATCGCGTCAGTAGAAATAAAGTTTTTTTGGAGCAGTAAGTAGCGATATTTTATTCGGAATGAATTTATTTCTGAGCTCCAACAATGCACTACGATTTCTCGAGGCCTTTTGTTTCATTAACGCCAAAGCCGCCACCCAAGCTTCTATTTCCTTGTTACTTCTGAAAAAGCCTGTGCAGGAATAGGGTGAGGGGGAGGGGAGAATTTTTTTTTGTTATCCAGAATCTGGCCATTTCATTCGGAAAACAAGAAGGTGCTGCAACTGCTGCTGCTCATAATGATGGTGATTTGGGGGAGTTTGCTCAGTTGATTTTATTTGTTTACTTTTCAACTGCTATTCGCTGGATTTTTAGCTATAACAAATATTAAAAAAAAAAATAAAAAAACGAAAAAGCACTTTTTCTTTACAAATAAGCGTATTTTTCAGAAAAACAATCAGGCATTTGGCAAAAGATAGAATTTTTTGGGGGAAATTATAAGCTCGCTTGCTGGCACTTCATCAACAGTTTGTTTTTCAAAATCATTCGGAAAAAAAAACTCATGAAAGTATTCGTGAAGCAGCAGGTGCCCCAAAAAGAACAAACACATGGATAGATGACGAATTTTTTTACTCCGGAGTGCTATAAAAGTGAGGCGTGGCCCGCATATTATTCATTCTGGATCGTGCTAATTACTAGCGAAAAATCCCTTTTATTGCCGATCTTCTGTGTCGAACTCTACCCGCAAAAAATTTGGCAGAATGATTGTTGCGATACTCTGTTTCGCCGTCGCGCTTGTTGCTGCTGATGAAGTGGGTAAGTACACCTTCCCAATAATTTAGTAAGGACAAATTCAGCTTGCACTTAGCAAGGGTTGCAGTTTCAGGCCAACAGAACCAGTTATGCAGACTTGGCTCTTCTTAAAGTTAGGTTGAGAACAAAATTCGGATGAATGAAATTTGGATAAATTCAGCTGGAGG